ACCTTCGGTCATATCAATCTCTTTGCCGTTAACTCTTCCCCAGTCAAAGCACTGAATCAACGATCCTAACGCCAACGTCACTATCTTGAGCGCTAATCCTGCGCCGGGACACATTCTCCGTCCACTTCCAAACGTTATGAGCGTACGAACATCGTCTTTTTCTCCTTCTCCTCCACCATTAAACCTCTCTGGGTTAAACCTCTCTGGTTCGGTCCAAAGCTCTGGATCCCTGTGTATACTCCATGCGTTCACCATCACCATCGTGTCACGTGGCACGTCGAATCCTCCGATCTTGATGTCCTCTATAGTTAATCTTGGCACAAGAAGCGGCGCCGCTGGGTATAGCCTGAGTGTCTCCGACACTACGTTCTGAAGGTAAGGCAGGTTTGGAATGTCTGTTTCGTCGATCAAACGGTCTTGTCCGATTTTCTCATCGATCTCTGATTTTAATTTTTCCAACAACTCTGGTTGATTCAACAAACTCGCCATCGCCCACTCTATTGTCACGGCTGATGTCTCTGATGCCGCTACAATGATGCCCTGTTTCGCAAGTAATTAGCTCTTTTGTTATTACCACATATTAGTGTTGTGGTTTGTGTCACAAACCGCTTTTAAACCGCTTTTAAATCTGATTATATATGAGTGTGTTTGAACTATTACCAGCATTAGGCCTTTGATAGTGACTTCACTGTAATACTCTGGGTCTTGTTGTTGCAAAGAGAGCAAGTGATTAACCATAGTGTTACCGTCTTTATTTCCCCTACACTCATCAAGCAAACGTTGCAAGAGCGCGTCCATGGCTTCTCCAACGGCTTTGACTTTCTTCTCGAAACTCCTTCCGAATATCTTGAGGAGTGGCAAGTATTCTCCTGGATGTCTCGCGCCACTAGTAGTACTAATATAAGCAATAAGTTTCTTGAACGTGTTTGCTTCTGCTTTGTCGCTGGCATCTTCTCCGTAGTAGATCTTCCCTGTAACCATCCTCACGATGTTGTTAAACGTTAGATCGTAAAATAGCGACTCAAGCTCGACCTCGCTGCTGATGAGGGCGTCACGTGAGAGTCTCGTGAGCATGCGGTGGATTTCCTCTTTGCGGATGTGGAGGAAGTTGGCGAGACGTTTTGAGGAGACGATTTCGAGCGAGCAGATTTTGCGTAGGTTACGCCAGTGGTCACCGTATGGTGTGGTCGCGATGGTTGTGTAATTGTAAGCAATGTATTTAGAGGTTAGGAAACGAGGACGGTTCGACACAACAATGTCGTTTTGACCCGTGAAGCATTCTCTTGCGAGTGCGGAAGAAGAGATGACGACAGCACGGCGGGTACCGAGTCGGAGGTAGAAGATTGGGCCGTGTGTTTTGGCGAGTCGGTGGAAGAGACGGTGGACAGGCGGTTTGATGAGGCGGTGGTGTCCGATAATGGGGAGAGAGTGAGGCGGAGAGGGAGGGAGGTTGAAACGCTGCGTTTTAGAGCTGAAGATGAACTTGTAAGCAACGAGAAGGAGAGCTAAAGGGAGAATCACGTAGTAAAACATTTTTGTTGTCACGTTCTTTTTGGTGATGTCGCTGATCAAAATGATTAGGTGTTTCTATATATAGTAGTAAAAGTGATTTTTGGGGATGTAATAAGCGCCGAGAATGAGAGTTATAAGAAGAATCAAAATGATTTGATAATCTACATATAGTAGAGACAATGAGTTCTAGGGTCCCAGCATTTTTCTAATATAAATAATAAAATATTGATCCAACGGGTATGATTGCTTCCTTTGTCAGCAGATCTGGCGTCATGTTTGCAGCGCAGAGACGCGATTATTTTATTTCAGAAAAAAAAAATAGAGTGTTCAGCTAATTCAAATGTTTTTAAAAATAAGAAGATCACACAGATTACTTGATTAACCGTATGCTTATTTTTTTTGTTGGCAAATGTTAATTTTTGTTCGTCCGAAACAACATGTTAATGGTTTCTTCTTTGTTTACACTTCATGGGAAATTTATTTTGTTAAACTGAATTGGTTTTTAGAATTGTTTTTCATTTAGTAGTGTAGTTTTTCAGTCAAATTAACACTGACTAAAATATAATTATGACAACACCATAATAACATTAAAGTCACTAATCATGGCGCACGTTTATTATCAGCTATAACAAAGAAATATTAAAATGTGTCTTTTGTACTCTATCTATTTCATAAAGAATGTAATTTTAAGATTTTGTTTTTGTTTCATAATAGTGACATAAAGCTTTTACAATCGTGTTGAACGTAGCTTCACCATTTAGTCGCATTGCATCGCATGCATAATCTTCGTTACCCGCGAAAGCAGAAAACTAACATAAGCTTTTAAAAACGGTCGTGACTTTATTCATAATGGGCCGAAGCCTACACAAGGCCCTTAGAGCAAGGAATAATAACGAACTTTCCAACCATTTCATCTTCCTTTTTTTTTGGGTAGCACTCATCTCCTCTTTTTTTTCTTCTCAGCTTATTTTCGTCTTTTCTAAAAGAAAAACGAATAGATGGTAATACTATGTATATAGAAAATCACTAGGGTCATCTAACCCCACGGCACCATCCAACACTTAGCTCCGTCAACACTCCAGATTTTAAATTATTTTTGAAATCTTTAAATGATATTTTGAGTACTACCTAACCTCACGTAAATCATGTGTTCCTAAAATCTTCCTAAAATCGAAGCTGAGGTTCGAGAAACTCGATTGAGCTCGGCCAAAAGTATGTATGATTGTATTACTGAAGTAACCGATTACATCATTCAATTTTAGAGATACTTTTTAGTTATTTTTTTTGTTAAATATCTTATTACTGTTTATATATAAACAATTTTATAGGCATTTTTATAATAGTAATATTCATTAAAAACTTAGCAATAGTTATGAATTTTTTTAATAAATATAGCTGAATTTTTTTGATTAAGTAAGTTGACTAAATAATTTTGTAATAGAAAAATGTGAAGAACCCATATTTCCATAATAAAATATGTTTTTTTTACCATTTTTTGCTTATAAGTTTATGGAGTTGGATTGTTTTTAAAAAGTTTTAAAGTGATTTATGTATATTCATGTTAAATCTGATTTTGATGAAAAGACATGCTTTTTAAATTTACGTAAAATATATTTAAACGTCGAATCAGCATTTAATTATTTTTCTTATCATTAATTATAAACGTGTTAAATAGTAAGCGCAGTGAAAATCAAAGGAGTTATAACGAGATAAATAGTTCTTTTTCAAAAAATAGTTATAACGTGCTAAAATCAAAATGCAAATGTGGTAAACAAATTAATGGGTTTTAGATTTTTAGTGCCAAATTAGCTCTACAAATTTTTGCAAAAGATTATTTGAATACTAGATTTCTGTTTTTTCCCTCGATATTATATTTATTTGTACAGAGAAAAAGATATGGTATTCTAATTTTTTAAATTGTATTGGAAACTTGATAGTTGATACTTTATACTAATCGAGGAATCGGTGTCGACATAACAATCGCATTTCACATGCTTGCTGCCACCGAGGTGTTGTTTTATTATATAATTTTATTGATACTAAGGTAGTAAGATGTAGTATTAAGAATTTTTTTATAAAGATTTTTTTTTGTGTTATAAGGCTTAATAATCGCCAAACAAGTTTGCTATTTTTTATTTACACGGTTAAGAACTATATATGTTAATACTTCTATAGCTAAAAGGTTAGTCCTAGCTTCTTTAGCTAAGTCATCAGCCATTCCATCACCATTTCTTGAGAACTTCAATAAATTGTAGCTACAATGAGCAGTAAGCGTCTTGAAGGTAAGTTGATAGGCCAAAGTTTTTAGCTAGCGACCAAAATAACTATGACTATTCATCGTCAAAAAAAAAACTATGACTTTTATTGTCAAAAAATTAAACTATGACTTTTATTGTCAAAATAATATATGGAATACTACCAAAATCGGCAATACTATTCTATATTGACTCAGAATTATTTCTTGTCTACTTGTTTGATGGACAAAACACGGGCTAGCTGTTGAGATTGTGAATGTCTTTTACAATGATCAGTATAACTATCGGATATAACCAGTACATTATTTAGTTAATTTACAATATAAAAAATAGATAGTACTATTCTAATATTGACTCGGTAGGTGAAGAAGATCATTTTGAAAACTATTAGCTGATGTATTAGCTGATGCTTTTGCAAAACCTTGCAAAGAGCGAGCTAAAGGGGAAAAAAAATTTATAGGAAATTAAGGTAAATTACAAAATATGACATAATATTATTTCTTTCAAGTTTATTTAATTTTTTTTTTCATTTAACTGATATGAAAGTGTGATTTTTCGATAACGTGTTATTGTAACAAGTTATTTTATCATGTTGAAGTCCTTATTTTTTACTCACATTGAGCACTAAAAATTAAACCTATTTTGCATTTAATTAGACAACACATATGTAAAATAGCAAGTTACATAAGAAATCTCTACTAGCTCTATTATATATTAGACGAAATCTCGAGTTAATCTTATTCTTGCTAAGAAATTATTTTTCTAAATTTGAAGTGTGGAGTACCTAATCATAACCTAAATTCTAAAATATTAATCCATATCCACACCAAATCAAAACTTGTGTACACCAATGCTTAGATTAAAATATAACATAAAGACTGCGATCCATTATATTATATTTATATGACAAGATATTGCTAGCTAAACAATTTTTTTTGTTGCCATGCGAACGTTGAGTCATGAAATCAATTATTCATCCATTAGGAAAAGAGCCAGAAACCATGCAAATAGTTAAATAGTGCAGATTTGTGTAATTCATATATTTTGAATACATTATTAGATTTAGATTATAGGCCGACCCACGAGCCATATATAATTCTCAGATGACACCTCAAATTATAAGGAATTAATAAAATATAAAGCTCAGAAATAAAAAAAATATTCTAAACAGACATGCATCTATAATTAAGAAAAAAAAATTCATGTCTTTTAAGAATAATCTCTTCTTTGATGTGGTATTGAATATTTCTTCTTTAAGATAAAGAGTTCGGGGTATTGAATATTTTTTCTTTGATAAAAAAAAACTAGGTTCTGAATTTATTCGCATTACAGAGATTGTCTCGGTTACAGAAAACGCACCAAAGCGTAACAAATTCTTCATTAGAAAACACGAAAGTAGAACTAAACCTTTGACTCGGTAAGAAGCTTATTCATGAGGGGTCGAAGCTGACACATGGCTCGTAACGGCACCACCTTACGCATTGCCATCTCTGGACCTTCGGTCATATCAATCTCTTTTCCGTTGACTCTTCCCCAGTCAAAGCATTGAATCAACGATCCTAACGCCAACGTCACTATCTTGAGCGCTAATCCTGCGCCGGGACACATTCTCCGTCCACTTCCAAACGTTATGAGCGTACGAACATCGTCTTTTTCTCCTTCTCCTCCACCATTAAACCTCTCTGGGTTAAACCTCTCTGGTTCGGTCCAAAGCTCTGGATCCCTGTGTATACTCCATGCGTTCACCATCACCATTGTTTCACGTGGCACGTCGTATCCTCCGATCTTGATGTCCTCTACAGTTAATCTTGGCACAAGAAGCGGTGCTGCTGGGTATAGCCTGAGTGTCTCCGACACTACGTTCTGAAGGTAAGGCAGGTTTGGAATGTCTGTTTCGTCGATCAAACGGTCTTGCCCGATTTTCTCATCGATCTCTGATTTTAGTTTTTCCAATAACTCTGGTTGATTCAACAAACTCGCCATCGCCCACTCTATTGTCACGGCTGATGTCTCTGATGCCGCAAACATGATGCCCTGTTTCGCAAGTAATTAGCTCTTTTGTTAATTACCACAAATTAGTGGACATAAACCACTTTTAAATCTAATTATATATGAGTGTGTTTAAACTTTAATTACCAGCATTAGGCCTTTGATAGTGACTTCACTGTAATACTCTGGGTCTTGTTGTTGCAAAGAGAGCAAGTGATTAACCATAGTGTTACCGTCTTTATTTCCCCTACACTCATCAAGCAAACGTTGCAAGATCGCATCCATGGATTCTCCAACAGCTTTCACTTTCTTCTCGAAACTCCTTCCAAATATCTTAAGGAGTGGCAAGTATTCTCCTGGATGCCTCGCGCCACTAGTACTTGTAATATAAGCAATAAGTTTCTTGAAAGTGTCTGCTTCTGCCTTGTCGCTGGCATCTTCTCCGTAGTAGATCTTCCCTGTAACCATCCTCACGATGTTGTTAAACGTTAGATCGTAGAAGAGCGACTCGAGCTCGACCTCACTGCTGATGAGGGCGTCACGTGAGAGTCTCGTGAGCATGCGGTGGATTTCCTCTTTGCGGATGTGGAGGAAGTTGGCGAGACGTTTTGAGGAGACGATTTCTAGCGAGCAGATTTTGCGTAGGTTACGCCAGTGGTCACCGTAAGGCGTGGTTGCGATGGTTGTGTAGTTGTAAGCGATGTATTTAGAGGTTAGGAAACGAGGGCGGTTCGACACAACGATGTCGTTTTGACCCGTGAAGCATTCTCTTGCGAGTGCGGAAGAAGAGATGACGACGGCACGGCGGGTACCGAGTCGGAGGTAGAAGATTGGGCCGTGTGTTTTGGCGAGTCGGTGGAAGAGACGGTGGACAGGCGGTTTGATGAGGCGGTGGTGTCCGATAATGGGGAGAGAGTGAGGCGGAGAGGGAGGGAGGTTGAAACGCTGCGTTTTAGAGCTGAAGATGAACTTGTAAGCAATGACAAGGAGAGCTAAAGGGAGAATCACGTAGTAAAACATCTTTGTATTGTCACCTTCTTTTTGGTGATGTCGCTGATAAAAAATAAAAAAAAGGTGTTCCTATATATAGTAGGAAAAGTGAGTTTTGGGGATGAAAGAGAATTTGTAAAGCGCAGAGAAGAAAAGTTATGAGAAGAATCACATAGTAAGAAATCTTTCCACGGTCTTTTCTACGATGTCGCTGATCAAAAGGATTTGGTAATCTATATATAGTAGATAAAATGAGTTCTAGGGTCCCAATAAAATTGATCCAACGGCTATGATTGCTTCAGTCGTAAGCTGATCTGGCGTCATGATTTTAGCGCAGAGATGTATCATTTGATTTCAGCCAAAAAAAAATAATAGTGTTCATCTAAATTCAAATGTTTTTTAAAAATAAGATCACATAGATTACTTGATTAACCGTTTGCTTAATTTTTTTCTTTGGTCGGCAAATGTTTTTTTTTTTATTTTTCGTTCGGAAACAACATGTTACGGTTTCTTCTTTGTTCTGATCAGACATCATGGGAATTTTATTTGGTTAAACTGCATTGGTTTTTAAAATTGTTCTTCACTCCATAGTTCGTAGTGTCGTTTTTCAGTCAAATTAACACTGCCTAAAATATTATCGCACCACCATAATAACATTAAAGTCACTAATCATGGTGCACGTTTATTGTCAGCTATAACAAAGAAATATTATAAATTATAATGTGTCTTTTGTACTTCATCTGTTTTTATAAAGAATATCATTTTAAGATTTTCTTTTTTTTTCATAAAAATGCCATTTAATATTTTTGATGCAAATTTTTTTTTTAGTGTTTTGATGTTTTAATTAGAAATATAAATTTTGTTTCAAGTAAAGAGTAAAATTTATTTTTATTAGTTTTTATTTTAATTTATGTGAAATGTGTTAAAATAATACTTTTTGTGAAACAGAAGAAGTATTAATTAAGAATGATAAATTTTGAGACGAAAGTTTTAAACGAAGCTTCATCTCTACATCCTTTGCCAAAGCTACCTCAATTGTTTTATTTTTGACCAAATACCCAATAAATGTTTCATAAACAAAAACCCCTTCAACGAAATAAATAATAATAATAATAAAAAACGATAAATAAGCACACTTTTTCCAAGGTGCAATGTTATAACCTGCAGAGGCAGCAGGGTAGCATTTTGGATGTGTAATTTTAATATATTATTTGAATTATTAGATAGAGAATTTTTAAAATAACTCTTAAACCAGAATGATGTGACGATGAATAGTCTCTAGGTTTAAAACAAAACTCTTAAAAATGCTGGTGGAATTAAGTAATCCCACAAAATAAAAAATTGCTCAACCTTTCACTGGAGAATAAGATGTCTCAACTACTTTCTTTTGTTTTGACCAAAGTCTCATCTACTTTAGCAAAAATAAATAAAAGAGGTGTTAACCTGCATTAAAATTAACCTAATCAGTATAAAGAAATAAAATTAAAGTTAATGATTTTCTGAAAAACGTGGCTATTGGTACACGAAAGAAAATCAAATTGAGCAAGGATTTACGAGGGTAAACCACGGAATATCTTACCGTTTCATCTTCTATTTCTTCTAAAACACAAGTAAATAGTTGTTTTGTTTATTATACTAATCCCACTATCCAATTACTTAAAGCTCCATCAAGACTCCAGATTCTCTAAAATATTTTTGAAAATCTTTACCTAACAACACGTAAATCACGTGTTCCTAAAACCTAAGCCAGTCAGGGGCGGACCCACACACATGACAGCACACTGCACACATGATCTGCTAGCCCATTAATTAATTATTTGTTTAATTGCTGCAATAATCATGCCAAAGCTCCTTAATTAATTATTTCCCAAATAGACTTTCCAGTACACTTATTACCCCACCATTTATCTTTTCATTTAAAACGAATTGTCCAAAATAATTGTAGATTAGATTTTAACCCGGTGAGTCCACACGAGAATGTTTTATTTTTTATTTTTAATATAAGTTGCATTTATCTTTTTTGTTTAAATATAATTTGTTTTTGTTATTTATTTTTTTAAATCAAAAAATTATTATCATATTTTAATTTTAAACAGTAAAATTTGTATATTAGTAGAATAAGAGTATGCGTTAATTAAGTATACATTGATCTAATATTAATTATAAGCTTTGTTATTATGTGAATTTAGATTTACACATAAAAAAATCTTTATATCTATGAATTTACTAATCCATCCGTTTAGTTGTCATCCATCCGTTTAGTTGTGTTAAATCATTTTTAATATTTTACATGTTTTGACAAACTAACTCGTATAAAACTATAATTATAATTGTATAACCCTATAAATATTTACTAATATGGAATATTTTGACCAATTGATTATGAAAAAATATAATAAGATATTTATTTATTATTTGTGCTATTAAAAAAAAATGTGTATATATATATATATATATATATAAACTGGCTAACCTGTTAGTTTTAATTGTCTCCAATCATCTTAATATCTTACATGTTTTAATAAATTAACTCATAGACCTTAAATATATATATATATGTATATATAATTCTAATCAGCTTGATCATATTATTGTGTAATATAAATATATATTAATCTCAAATATTTGATATTTTAGACCAATTGATTATGATAAAATACGATAAAATATTTATTTACTATGCATTTTTATAAAAATATTATTTAAATTTAAAATTTTAAATTAAATCTCTCCTGTATTTAAGAAATTTTTAAGTATTAAAATTATTATTTAAATTTTCGTAATAAAATTTAATTATAATTTTTTTCAATTTAAATTAAATTGAATGCAAATTTTTGTAACTAAATTTAATTAAATTTCTAATAATTTGAAATTTGAATTAAAGATGATCTAGATTTTAAGAAATCTAAAAATATATAAATTAATAACTAATTTTTAGAAATTAAATATAAAAATAAAATAAAATATTATAAAAAAACTTTAGGAGTGTTTGGATGCAAATACTAAATGTGCTTCTGTTTTAATACTATGTTTTGTATTTTTTAATCTAGTACACTTATTACCCCACCATTTATCTTTTCATTTAAAACGAATTGTCCAAAATCATTGTAGATGTAACTTTTCCATTGTTTTTGAGAGTTTGTTCAATACAAATTGCTCCACCAATTTTTCAAATAAAATTTGCCCATTGTTAATTAATGTTTCATAAATGGGTTTATAGCTTATTCATAATGGGCCGAGAATGACACAAGGCCCGTAAAGGCACTTTCTTACGCATCGCCATCCCCGGAGTCTCCGTCATATCGATAGCTTCGCCGTTAACTTTTTCCCAATCGAAACACTGAATCAACGACCCTAACGCCAACGTCACCATCCTCTGTCCTAATGCGGCGCCGGGACACGATCTCCGTCCATTCCCAAACGGCATCAGCTTATGAAGGTCTTCTCTTCCTTCTCCGCCGCTAAACCTCTCCGGTTTAAACTTCTCCGGTTCCTTCCACAGACCAGGATCTCTGTGTATCGCCCACGCGTTCACCATCACCATTGTGCCACGTGGCACGTCGTATCCTCCGACTTTGATATCCTCCGAAGGCGATCTTGGCACCAGGATCGGCGCCGCCGGATATAGCCGGAATGTCTCCGACACAATGTTTTGGAGGTAAGGCAGGTTCGCGAGGTCTGGTTCGTCGATCAAACGTTCTTGTCCGATTTTCTCGTCGATCTCTAATCTCGCGTTTTCCAATGTCTCTGGATGATTTAGCAAACACGCCATCGCCCACTCTAGCGTCACGGCCGATGTATCTGTTCCCGCTATCATCATTTCGCGCGTAATATAAATTAACCAAAAACTTATATTTATTTTTAAATCTATCTGTATATTATTATTTAATTATTTAGAGATGTGTTAGATTACCAGCATTAGGCCTTTGATGGTGACGTCAGTGTAATACTCTGGTTCTTGTTGTTGCAGAGAGAGCAAATGGTTAACCATTGTGTTACCGTCTTTGTCACTCCTACACTCGTCGAGCAAACGCTGCAATATCTCATCCATGGCTTCTGCAACAGCTTTCACTTTCTTCTCAAAGCTCCCTCCGAATATCTTCAGGAAAGGCAAGTAATCTCCGGGATGCCTCGCGCCGCTACAATCGTTAACTTCCGCGACGAGTTTCTTGAAAACATTCGCTTCTTCCTCGTTGTGGACTTGGTCTCCGTAGTATCTCTTCCCCGTAACCATCCTTACTATGTTGTTGAACGTTAGATCGGACAAGAGAGGCTCGAGCTCGACCTCTTTGTCACGTGAGAGTCTCGTGAGCATGCGGCGGATTTCGTCTTTACGGATGTGGAGGAAGTTGGCGAGACGGTTGGAGGAAAGGATTTCGAGGGAGCAGATTTTGCGGAGGTTGCGCCAGTGGTCGCCGTAAGGAGCGGTTCCGATGGTTGTGTAGTTGTAAGCGACGTATTTTGCGGTGAGGAAACAAGGCCGGTTTGATAAAACGACGTCATTTTGGCCCGTGAAGCATTCTGTAGCTAGTGAGGAGGAGGAGATCACGACGGCGCGGCGGGAGCCGAATCGGAGGGAGAAGATTGGGCCGTGGGTTTTGGAGAGGCGGTGGAAGAGACGGTGCACCGGCGGTTTGAGGAGGTGGTGGTGGCCGAGGATGGGGAGAGAGTAAGGTGGGGAAGGAGGGAGGTTGAAACGCCGCGTTTTGGATGTGAAGATGAATTTGTAAGCCAAGAGAAATAGAGCTAAGGGGAGAATAATCACATAGTAAAACATCTTCGACTAACTTCTTCTTTCTTTCTATCCCTCTTGAAGCGGAGGAGTTTGCTGGTGTTTGGAAATAATCAGATTGGTTAATTATGTATTTATAGAAGAATATGTTCATGTTGCAAGCTATTTGTTTATTTAGGGGGAGATCCCATTGGGATACTTTAGTTTTTAACTCGAAAAAGACTCCATTCGGTGTTAAATCAGTATCGGATAAACAAAATGTGATAAGTGACAACTGAAAACCTTTATATTACTGATGATATTGATTTTATTCTTTACTTTTTTTTTATTTTTGTCTTGTTTCTGTGTAAACACAGTTGGTTGGGTCCTTGGGTATGTTGGAAAATAAATAGTTGGGTACAATTTATTATAAGCACATTTTTTTGGGTGAATTTGTGAGCTAACGGTATTTGAACCTTTTTGTTTTTTGTTTTCTTGTCAACATATAAAAGTAACTAACTAAGATTTTTTGTTTTGGAGGGAAATGTCCCGCCAGCAAAACGAGATCAAAACAAAATTATTCGCAAGGGGACCATTTAACTTTTGTTTCAGTAATTTTGTTCCGGAACACATTAAATTGCTGAATTAATTACATGGTTACCAAAAAGACGTCCAAATCCCACCTTGAACGATTGAAGAACGGAACAGATTCCGCACTCATTCAATCCACAAGAACATTAAGTTTCTGAAATGCTTCAAATGTCGTCTTGCAGTAATTGCACTGCGCATCTGCCTGTCGATGTCCCTCAGAATTTGAGCTGGAGCTTTGGAAACAGTGTTGAAAACTCTGTTGTTGCGTTCCATGATATCATTCCACATAATATCAAGTATTTGATTAAAAATTCCCTTATTTACGATTATGCTATCTATGTAACTAACTCTTTTGCATGATTTTTATTTACGAATCAGATCTCTCAGACTTTTGAGCTGGAGTTTTGGACACCTCATCCCACATAATATCAAGTATATCATTAACAATTCCCTTATTTACGAATCTGCGATCTATGTACAACTAACTCTTTTGAGTAATTCTCAACTTCTCCAGCTGTTGTGATTAATTTAATCCCACTAAAAAGTATCTTTAGAAACTTCATGAAAAATAAAATAAAGACATAACATAAGTAGTTAAAAATATCTTTGGGAAAAAATGGGGCCATTGGCCGACGACATAAAATAATCATGTGGCCAGAAATTATGGGATGATAGTTGTTATGGAGTAATGGTTATAGAAGGATCAGCAACAAAATTTCTAACTATTTCATCCTTTTTTATATAGTAGGAATCCAGTGGATCATCCAACTCCATGCACTATCCAACACCTATCCCTCCTGTTTGGGATGCTACATGCTACATATAAAATATATATGTATAAGAATATATCTTTTTCGGTTGTAAAATTGTTAGTGCATGATTGAAACAGAAATGTTTACACCCAAAAAAAATTATTTAACTTGGGCATACTTATAACCCCAACGGTTATAAGCCTCTGGTTATAACTTATAAGTATCCCCAGTTTAAATAATTTGTTTACAGTATTATCGTATCATAATCAAATTCATGGGTTTATTAAACTATAATTACGACGCCAAAGAGAACCTACAATTGCATAGTTAAATATGAAAATGCTCACTCAAAGGACATGCTCTATGGACGCAGATATTTTAAATACTGTTAAACGAAACTAAACATATTATCTTTGGAATGTCCAAAAACGACATGAAAATATATGTAAGGCAAATTGTATTAGCTGTCTGTCAAATACAAAAATAAATTGTAATTAATTGAGGGTCAATTTTGAATTGACCGTACGGGATATCAGATAGTAAATATTATTACTCCGTAGTATCATCAATGATCTCACCGAATCGTACATGGTTGCCATGTGTTATGAACCTATTGGCTACCAAAATATAAGCTTCATGAAATGAATTAGGTAGAATTTTTTGTTGTCTCATAATTCTCACCAATCTAGAAAAAATTAAGGAACAATAAATCACCCCCAATACCATATGTATGGTTTTTAGTGTGTTTTAAAATCATTTGAGGTAATTATATAAGCTTCAATAACCAACTAAAAAAAAAAAATTGATGTTACAAAAAAAACAACTAACTAAATAAGAATAAGACAATACAGTTATACTTATACCATGTACATCAAAGAAACTCAAAAAGTGATCCTTAATAATATTATATTATTTTTTTGTGTTAAAAAAAATTAACAAACTTTCATGCTTTTCCTCCTCCATTAGTGAACTCGGCAAGGATTTCTTGAAAATTTTTTTTATTTAATAATTTGATTTGAAATAGAAACAGAGACACACCTATCGAGTTGTTCCTTGATGGCGGAGAGAAGCTTGTAATTATCCTAATTGATAGTCGCTAAAGCTTGACGAACAACCATTTCGCGATGAGAGCGGTCCAGCTTCTTCACATCAATCAATCGTCTGCACAACGTTACCGTCGGCATAACCGGAAGTATGCGTCTGCAAACGCAAACGGAGAATCGCTAAATGACTGCCTTGTCTCTGCGACGGTAACCTCCCGATCGCCGCCTACTGGAGATCTTCTTCGTCTTGATCCACTGTCTCGGCGTTCGACGGCCGCGCGAACGATTCCCTACCAGCCTCCATGTCGAATTCGAAATACTCACTCCCATTCGACGCAACCGCCATTGATTTTGATTATCTTCTTCCTCTCTCCAAGATCGATCGGGATTTGTTGTTTCTAAAAACGTCGATGTCGACGAGGGAGAAAGAACTTTCGAAACCAAAAAAAAAATTTCACCGATACACATCTCTTGTGCAAGCTAATAAAAGTTAACACGTGGCTTATAAAACTCTCTATGGATCGGTCCATAAATTCCTTCTGCAAAGACCGATCCATAGAAAATGGGCCTTTTTTATTTATTTAAAATCCGAAAATGGGTTTAAAAACTCTTAACAAACCCTTATAAAACTTGAATGGACATGCTCTTATACCTAGAAGGCTAGTACTATAATAGCTAGTATAATAATGCCACTCGCTAGTATAATATAGCTCTCTATTCCAATTTCCAAAGTAATAATAAGACAATACAGCTCTGGATACCAAAATATGACTTCTTGCGAATTTATAAGCTGTAACTACTTACTTAATTTGGTGGTGCAACCCCCCAAAAAAACTGAAGGAAAACCAGCTAACAGGAACCATAAGCCCACGTGCTGGCCACATTTTATTTCCCTTTATCATCGTTGCATATGATATTGGCACGTTATGACTTCTTTGTCTTTTAATTCGTTTGGCACGTTATGACTTCTCTCTCAATTTGGAATGGGCCAGTTGCTGACCAGATTGGACCCAATAGCTTCCAATACTAGACTAACTATTCGGGCTCAGTTGAATTTCAGCATTCGCGTGACATTACCGTTCAATTTTACTTCTAATTTTTTTTACATATATATATATATATATATATATATATATATATATATTCTCTTACGGAATAATGAGTTATTTTGTATACTACGTCTGCATTATTTTTTCTTGTATTTTTCTTCTCTAAGAAGGTTTCAAAAAGTTGATGTTGAGAGCGAGGGAGGGGGGAAGAGAGAATAACAATTAGTCGGCAAAATACTTTCTTTCTTGTAGATATGTTGAGAGAGATAGTAACAATTAGGGATTTAGGGGCGATTTAAAATAGTCTAACACAACTAGCTAATCCAACAGCTCATTATGTGATCATCGATTTTTTTTCCAGATCCGGTAAATTCTTTAAAATGAGCAGAGCAGTGAGATGAAGAAATTTATGCTGACGTGATTTTTCTTGGACTACAGCAAAACATTATCTCGCTAAATAAGTGAGTTCTAGCAAATTTATGAGCTGATGATATTGGTTTTGCAGTTGGTTTGATCTCTTGGAACGACACTAAGTCACTAACTAAGTGAGTTCTAGCAAATTTATGAGCTGATGATATTTATTAGCTGGCTTTTGACAGAAGAGAGAGGAAAAACATTAGTACGTACTACTTTTATTGTACGGTACATAAACCCTAAAGAAAACAACATAATAATCATAATAAAAACTAATTAACATAGGAGTCTAGTGTCTGAAACAGAGCTTTCTTCTAAAACCGCATTGCAATGGTTCAAAACAATTTAGAAGTTTTAGCTAACAACGTCGTTCTGGCGACCACTGCGGTAACGAAGGGCTGAAATGAGTAGACACAACCCTAGAGTTAAGCAGCTCCATGATCGGCGTGAAGCTCACGCACCTCGGGACCTTATACTGATTAATCGATGCACCTCTCGAGATGGCATAGTCCATGAGCTCTTCGAACGTACCGTTTTGCACCACACGTATCTCCAACGGACCAATCGATTTATCTGCGACCCGACTTTGTCTATAAACCGAGTTGAGAGATTCCTCCATCTGCAAACAGCAATTAGCCATGACCTCGTCGCTAGGACAAGCGTTAGTTTGCTCTTTACCAAGTAGCTCCCAATAGACAACGTAGTGACCCGGTATGGTCTTCGTTTCTGCATAGCTTGTGTATTCGATCACACGCGTTCCTTGCTTCGCAAGCAACCTCGATGCATTCTCCACTGCCTTTTGTAACTCAGCCTCATCGGTTTTATCAGATTCGATGCTTAGCAAAACGTTCTTTCTCCTTATGAATTTGAACTGTGGAGCAGAATTATGGAACCCCGTCACACGAAGAATGTCACCAACTCTGTAACGGTAGAGCCCAGCGTAGGTCGTGATCACGAGTTCGTACTCTTTTCCAACTTCAACATCAGCTAGCTCCACAAGTGCGGTTTCATGCGATGCTTCTTCTACTGCTCCATTGTGTTCGTGTGGGAGAAACTCGAAGTAGGCCATGTTTGGCATGATCGTGTAAGAAACCTTTGAGGGTTTACACATTGGTTTTAGGTTGATCCCGAAATAGCTTTCGGAAGAAGCATACATCGTGCAAGCCATCGGTAATCCGCCGCTATAGTACTCCAACGTCGGGATATACTGAGCCATTGCACCAGTAACAATCACATCAAGGTACTTTGTGTTAGGCCATATCTTAGTGATTATCCCTCCCCAATTCTCCTGTGAACAAACCCCAATCAGAAAATCAGCCAATTCTTGATCGGGATTGGTCAAAA